AGGCTCTGAGACTCTCAGCCAAGGCTCTTTATAAGTGGTTGATGCCCTTTAGCCGAGGCTCTTTATAACGATGACCTTCAATCCAAGGCTCCTTTAAACTGAAGCTCATGATGTCTTTTTAGAGGACCCTCTAAGTCAATGCCATGTCGGCAATATGGGACCCTTCCTTCAAATTAGTGCCACGTAATTTACGAGAGTAACAATAGTCTCCCAAGTCTAGGCATGATTATTTATGTAATGCATGGATTTGAAAGTAAAATTGAGATAAAAAGTTTGCGTAGGGGGATGGCCTTAACCATACCCCTATAGTTGGAAACATATCTGATTCGTACAGACCCTCTGCGGGTGATGTCCGAAGTGGTTTACTTGGTAGTTTTCTTTACCTTTTGGAACTATCCTGGGAAGGTTGCTAAAACATTAGTTGAAATTGATACATATGAGCTGATTTCAATCTTTCATATTTTATTGAATCTGCGCTTTTTTAATCTTGTTGCCTTGATTTTAATATACTGAATCGAATGTCAACCTTCATTGAGTTATAATCGGGCAGACCTGAGTTAGAATGATCTGAATCTTTTTGAAGGGATTTACAATGTCCACTTTTACTAAAAATGGTCTCTGTTTGTTTTGAGGATTTCGACTTTTGTCTTGGAGCCCAAGCTAGGTGATCCCTTTCCTAGGAATGTCATGCAAATGTTTCTTCCTTAACGCTTGGCTGTCAAAGGAAGGCGTGTGTGTCCACTTCGGAATCCAAGCGAGGTGATCCCTGTTTGGGGATGTCGACCTCTCTTCCGAGGCGCCAATGCTTCCTTGCATGGTGGATGGTTCATCCATACGAAAGCTTCTTCCTTGACGTTTGGCTGTCAAAGGAAGGCATGTGTGTCCGCCTCGAAATTCAAGAGAGGTGATCCCTGTTTGGGAATGCTGACCTCTCTTCTGAGGCGCCAACACTTCCTTGAATGGTGGATGGTTCATCCATACAAAGTCTTCTTCCTTGACGCTTGGCTGTCAAAGGAAGGCATGT